TACCAACAAATACATATGGAAATTACATGATCCTAGAGCTTTTGAAATTTTTACAGCCTACGGAAACGGAACTGCAAACGGAAACGGAAATTGGTCAACAAAAGATTAAGTAGTTTCCATAACTGTTGCGATATAAACACGTGAGTTCTATATTGAATGGCCCCGCGTGATTATCAGAAATTTCAGATACCTAAATGTTAGGTCGTCTCGATCGATACATACATATATATATGTGGACATTTTTTCAGGCTTTTCCTTTGCAATGTCCTCTTTGGGATCGTCACGAGAACACGTCATGCTCGGTCGCACTGAAGTGTAGCTTGCATGGGAGAGTTTTCACTTCATTGCATTTTCGATTTTTCATCAGTTGAACATCTGTGTTGTTGGAAAGTTGGATGACGCTATCAACCGGATAAATCACTATCCAGTGGATAGCGAGGTTTGTTTTGTTAACATTTATCGGCTGGATAGCGTTATCCAGCGTTTGAAGAGTCGGGACCTGTTGAAAATGGTTGTTTGTATATAACATTTAAATTTAAAACTTGTCCGTCTCTCATTTGTAGCATTGCATTGTTTAGCTCTAAACTCTTTTTATTATATTGGAATATTGTTTTTCCGGCCCTGGCTGAATATTATTTTAGGCTAAAAACATTCTTATAAACATTCTAAGATTAGTTAAAGGAATACAAAGTGTTCTATGCCGTGGCAATGTCAGATTATCTGTCCTATCATGACTTTGATGGCAGTGACGTAATTTTGGAGCCACACTGCAGCCTCATATGACACGCATAAGTTCTTGCAGAAATGTAATAGCATCGAACATACGGCAGTGCTATTTTAGTTTGTTGTTTTTTTGTTGTTGTTGTTGTTGTTGTTGTTGTTTTGTTTTGTTTTTGTTTTGTTTTTTTGTTTTGTTTTGTTTTTTTTTTTCTAGTTTTGCCGTTTAGAGAAAGGAGGAATTCTTTCCATAATCTCAGTGTCGGGTTTATTCTTAAAACTTCGCAAGTTTCAGCCAAATTTCAGATATTCCCATGAAACAGATCTTTTCATATATAAAAAAGATTGTTACAAGGAGAGCAAAAAATCTTCAGCAATATGAGACGATTATCGTACAACGTTTTGTCTAAAGTTACCGACAGAAAAGAACTGCAGTGAAACCAATTCATGACGAGTTGTCAGGGGTCTGGGAAAGTTTGTTCGTTCTAACGGAGGTTTATTATAACGGACTTACTGATTATAACTATTCTTCGTGATACTGTGGGTACTTCGTTATAAAGGCGCTCGTTATATAACGTGATTCTACTGTAAATGATAATCAACTGAATTGAAGCCTCTTGGTGTGAAGAGGCCTTAAGACTTCAGTCTATAATTCCACATTATTTGGTGTTTATGCACGCCGATAAACCTAGACCATAATTCAGTGAAATACATCATATTGAGTCCGAGCGCTCTCTGTTTTGACTACGTGTGTTCCAGGCCATTTCACACGCCCTAAGGGATCGCACTAGTTAAAATGCTCAATTAAGATTCAACACGCTAAGTGCGCAGAAATCACGCGATGGAAATTGGGAACTCTGCAGTGTGTGACGCCTCGTAATAGAGCTTGCGTTGCGCGCGCTGTAGAGAGCCGTAACGATGCCATGTAACGTGTTTACCAGGGCTCTTACAGGAATACATTCGGGGGATATTTGTTTAAGTTGCATATTAATGTTTCGTTAGCCTCTGGTAGGAAGCTGATCCGAAAATTTCTTGGGAGTTACTTTACTAGATAATTCCATGCAGTTTATAATAAATAAACAGTTTTGACCATTTTAATCAAAATCAGCATGAATTTGGTTAAATTAAATCAAAGGTTATCCTCGCGGTTGTTCGCGATGTATATTCATCTCATTTGTTCTAACTATTAGGTGCTATGATACATTGTCAAAGAACCATAGAGACAGTAAAGGAATCTAAAATCGCTCTCAGAAGGCATAAAAATATAAACTTGAGGTCCAAAATTTAGCCCAAATTTTTAAAGTTCCTCATTTACAAATTGCTTCTATGTATCATGTCAGTCTTGATCCTTTCTTGCTTGTTACCTCCTTTATTCTTTTGTAGCCGTTTTTTCTGTTCACAGACTAACACTAAAAAAATTAACCCTTTTGTGTTACGATAAAAAAATGATTGAACATATACGGCACAATTTCTTTTTGCAGATGTCTCAATGAAAAATAGAAAGTTATAAAATCTTCGGTGCATGGTCGCATTTGTACGATATATTAAGAGAGATATATTAATTGATTTCTACTCGTTCTGGAAACGTATTGAGCATCACAACAGTGGTTTTGTTTTACAGGTAAGACTCATTGGTCTGTTCTTTTAATTTGCGGTCAATTTTAAGGTGTAAGGAATTCTTATACTAAACGCGGAGACTAGTTTGCCGATATATTATTAGAATGTAACCATTCGTGAATAACATATTTCCCTTTAGTCAAATGAAAAGCAGCAGCATGGTTCTTTTAAACTAGATTAAAACAATCTAGGATTTCGTAAGCTACAGCTTATAAGGCTGATAGTTTCAATTTTAAGGTGTAAGGAATTCTTATACTAAACGCGGAGACTAGTTTGCCGATATATTATTAGAATGTAGCCATTCGTGAATAACACATTTCCCTTTAGTCAAATGAAATGCAGCAGCATGGTTCTTTTAAACTAGATTAAAACAATCTAGGATTTCGTAAGCTACAGCTTATAAGGCTGATAGTTTCAATTTTAAGGTGTAAGGAATTCTTATACTAAACGCGGAGACTAGTTTGCCGATATATTATTAGAATGTAACAATTCGTGAATAACATATTTCCCTTTGGTCAAATGAAAAGCAGCAGCATGGTTCTTTTAAACTAGATTAAAACAATCTAGGATTTCGTAAGCTACAGCTTATAAGGCTGATAATTTCTTTATATATACATACCTTATTAAAAAAGCAACCTTACAAAAATTTATCCTCATCCGTGCCCGGAATTCCAAGAAGGGTTATGTGCTTAGAAACAAATTTCAACTCTTTCTGGGCAATGTTATGTTATTTACTTTCCTCACTTTAAAATACTATCCAGTTAAAATTATCGCCTGGTAACAGTTTCAAATGATAGACAGGCCAATATGCATATCACAATAGAAAAAAAATAACAATAAAACCAAACGGCGAATAAATTTACGATGATCCTTAACCAAATAAAGTCCACCAAAAACTGTCTAAGTAGGCCAATCGTCAGGAGGTAATTTTCGACTAAAATTCAGGAAATTCGAGTGGAAAACCAATTGATTAAAATTGTAAAAATGTCTCAAATTTTGTTGGTTGCTAGCAGTACTATTTCAGCATTAATGAGGCAAAGTTCCCTCGAACGTCTAAGACTGACCGTAATTTTCATCGCATTTCTCACAGTTAAACAGATATTTTGACATTGTGACCGATTGTAACAGATATCAAGACATTATTTAGAACCAACTGTCAGCATTGTGTCAAGTAGTAGGTGAGGTGTAATATTTGCACTGAGTTTTATGCAAAATGAAAAAAGTCTTGCATGTTCTATATCAAAAGATTCTGCTGTTTTCTTCGCTTAATTTATCCTGTAATAAACAGCTCGTGATTTGCAAAATAGCCTTTTTTGACTTGGGCGGTTTGTTTTCCATTACGGACCCAGTAAGAGTCTCTAGGGAATTGTTCTTTTATCCATCTAAGTCATCTAAAAAATTATTCATACACAGACACGAGACTACTTGAAAATTTGAAAGCAAGAATTCTCAAGAGTATCATCACATGGTCTGAAATGGAGCAACAAACCGCCCAAGCTAAAAAGGTCTGTCTATTGGAACTCCGCACTTTGCGGTAATCCCTTGCATCGGTATTATTAATAATCAACATATTTTATAAAAAGGTTACGTGGTTACGTGTCCAATACGATCTACGAAAACAGCGAAAGATCACAAAAACAAGCCAAAACACAAAATGTCAAACCATACAGCAAATAGAAAGTAAGCATACAGGCTAATCTTTGCTGACGTCATTGTTTACATTTTTCCTCATTAACATACGACTTTGCTCATAGAAGGCATCACGCTTGACACGATTTTACTACAAAAACTTAAAGAGCTTGTGAAACTTAGTAAGTGGTGAAATTTTTGGCCCTTTGGGTGTAATATTCCACGAGAAATTGGCTTTCAAAAACATCAAAATTTCTGCGTGGCAAAAGCGCTAATGAGCTCATACATTCTTTGTAAAATGTTGAACTTTTAAACCCGCGTCGCACAAAAAGTATTCAATACATCCCGCTCAAATTCCTTGGGACAGTTAATCATGCTGTGCCCTTTCAATATTCAGTATTAATCTCTTTGTAGATCCATCAGAAACTGTATCGCTTATGGTAATGAGGAAAATATTGTAAGTAAAGATTCCCCTATAGCAAAGGAGGCTATTTATACAATTCAACTATAGAACACCATCTTTGGAATATATGGTGTAATGAGTCGAACGCTGCACAGCAAGCCCGACTGGTGCCCACTCTCCTCGAGAAAAACTGATTCGGGTAGATTTTTTCGACTAGAGCAGTCTCAGGATTGACTTTTGTACATTATGCTAGCATTTTTTCGAGCATTGCAGTGAGGCAAGAGCATTAATCATTATTCGAGAATTTTAATTGCATTTTCCCGGAAAATTAATATTTTTTTCCACCAAAAAAAAACAGGAATAAAAATAATTTTTTTTTACGGGAAAATAAAGACTTAACTTAGCCTCTTCACTTAAGTATCATTGAAAGGGGACAAAGGATTAACAGAACAACAGATCATTTAGAGAATTATCTTTGGGTGTATTAAAACTATTACATACGTTGTTGTTAACTGGTTATACTAAGTGTATGTTTTCTTCAGCACTCTAAACTGTTAATTGTGTTGAAACGTTTAAAATTCTTAAAATTTAAAAAACCATATGTATGAGCATTAACCGAGCATTTTAGTGACTTTTTGGGAGGAAACCGACCATTTTAGTTGAAAAAAAATAGTATTAAGGTGGAGCATTTTAGTGGGGGAATAAAAGCATAATGTACAAAGACCTGTCCCAGGAGCCATTTGTCCGTCTGCCTGGGCCAATAGGCTATTTCTGAGTTGCCTAGTGTCTCTGTATCAAAACGAGTCTGCGTGAAACCATTCATATGAAAATGAGTTCCGCCTACAAGTTTAGTGTCATCCAAAACAAACTCATTTTCATGTGAAAGGTTTTGCACGAAGACTCGTTTTGAAACAGAGGCACTGGGTAACTCGGAAATGGCGTGTTATTGAATGACAAGGCATTACAATGAAACTTTAAGACATTACTAGTTTCAGAATGTTAGACCTATTAGAAAGTCGCAGCAAAATATCTTGTACACACATGTGCTTTATTCACTAAAATGTGTTCACGTGACGTCATCGAATTCTCAAATCCAAAACTAAAGAGCCACTAAAGGTTTTATCCTCATCAGGCATAAGTGGTACTAAATTTGTATCTGTTTACAACTTTCCAGCTCAATAGCGTCCTTCGTTTGGAAACCAGCGTATTTTGAATTTCGTAGTTATGGCAGTGGGTGACAGGAAGTTAAGATCGCGTTTGTCGAAACATATACTCTTTTCTCGTGATTTTTAGCTATTTTAGGAGTTCAAGTATTAGGAAAAGTGCTTGTGTAAGTGTTTTTTGGTTCGGTTCAGATAATCAGTCGTCTAAATAGCCAAAGTAAGTTCCAGATGTTTTGAGTATTTTCCGGCCGCCATATATTGGAGGACTAAGGAGACCCTCCATCATGGCGGCTCCATACTAAGCTCTATAATTTTGCGCGGAACATTTCGACGAATATCTCAACTTTGGGACGACTCACACAACTTAAACTTGGAGAACTGTCTTCTTTATTTATCGTCTATAATCTCACAATTTCATGGCTTTATCCACTGAATGTTTTTTGATTTTATTTTCTGTTGCGTTACAATGGACACACGCTATAGCGAAGTGCAAAATACATGGTTAGATAGCTTAGTTTTGCAGTTCAGTTACCAGTTCCAATGAAGACTGGAGTGGGTTTGTTGAAAACATTTTCACATTGAGTGATGGTTTACAAACTTATGATTCAATTCCAAGTGAGAGAGTAAGTGACTTGGCGCCTGCTGTCCCAAGCGAATAGCATTCTTTCTCTAGGGTTGTAGTCCACCATGGAATTGTAGCCATACTGGTTTTTGAACTGTATGTTTGGGTTCCACTGTGTTCCTGTCTTGGTGTCGTAAGCATAGTTGATGGTAGTGGGATTTTGATTGTAATGGTCGATAAGGTAAATCACTCCACAGGCCACAAATGCATTGCCAATATTCCTCATCTGTTCTGCTTCAAACAAAGAAAAAAACAAACAAGGGCCAACCCAGATATTTAAATGTTTTGCCATGAAGCCATGCTATATGCTATATTATGTTATTCCATTTCAAGATACGAGATGTCATGCTTCAACAAGCTATGCCAAGCGATGCCTTATCGTGACGTGCCGTGCTGCCTTGCCTTAATTCCCGTGGCGTGACATGCCGACATGCCGACGTGGCGTGACATGCCTGACATGGCGTGACATACCGTACAATGCAATGCCATGTTCTGTTGCACTGTGTTTGTCTGTACCTTTCTTTGTGCTCTATTTTGGCGACTCCGCGCGGCAACACGAGTAAAAGGGTGCAACCTGATAGTCCATGATGGTACCCAGTAAAACATCCAACAAGAAAATTATGCACTCTGTGTAGCCTTGACAATTAAATAATTATTTTATTAGGAATGAAATTAGGATACCTGGAGGCCTGGAATAACCATATGGACTAGCGATGCCAGGCAGCCGGTTGATATAATCATTAATTATAATAAATCAGAGGTCGTCAAGACAACACAAACTCGCCGGACAGACACATACACAGAAACAAAGCAAAAGACAGTTTTTCCCGAAATCCTGACTTTCGAAATCTGTCTTAATCGCTCTCGTCCGTCATAGCAGGTTACTACAGAAAACGTATTAAAGTGGGACTCCAGAGTTTAAATCACGTGAGAGGCTATACTTGGTTTGCTCGTTATTCTTCCTTACCCGTAGACACACTGTAGCTCTGAACTATGACGTCGTCATCAATCTTAGATGCATACAGTCGTCGGTTATCCCCAGAATTCCCCCATAATACCCACAATCCCTGCTCGTCAACAGCCAGGTCCACTCCACTGTACCCTCCCCACTGGTAGCGGGTTTGCCTTGGTGTGTATCCGCTGAGAGTGATCTGAGCCTCCAGGTTATTGGTGAGCAAGTTATACTTGTCGATATACCTGGTATTGGCCCTGTGTTTGAGGGACAAAAAGCAGGAAATCCATCAGTATGATTCAGTTAGATGTAATCCTACGGTTATATTAAAATACGAATGCCACGACAGCATCGTTCCTCCTAAGAACAAAGGCAAAATTGATTTGGAATGCATTGATCAAGAACTACAGTGGAACCCCGTTAATCCGGTCACCAACGGGCCACAAAATCTGACAGTATTAACGGGGTAGCTGTATTAAAGGGGCTCTTTAAACAAGAAAATGACTGAGTGAGCTCAGTTTTGTTCGGGCCAGAATAAAGTGGCCGTAATAATGAGGTGGCTGTATTAACGGGGTAGCCGTAAGGCGGGGTTCCACTGTATTGCGATTTTCTATGCAAACTCCATGGGTTTGTTAACATGAACCTTTGGCCACACCCTGCCTATGAGCTAACTAAATGCAATCCGAAGCACCTTTAGTTATCACCCGGTCAATACGGCCAGGTCTCGGTTTGAGATTTTCCCGCGAAGACGTCACTCTCGGTTAATAAGTAGTTAGTAATTGCACCTTTGATCTGTTCATCTAAAAAGATAAGTCAGTTAAAAGTTTTAACAAGTGCGATCTGTTACCTGTTGTAATAGACGTACGATCCGTATACCACCGCGCCCGTCCCGTCCCGATAGTACGGAAGCGTGTACGTGTTATTCTTCACGCCTGCTTTGAATTTCTCCATGTTTTCAT